ATGCTCTTCCATCTCAGTTTAATTCTTCAACCCTCATTCTCACAATAACATTGAATGATCGAGACTTGACTTTTGCCACGTTTCTTGGTCTTAAGTTAATGGGTGGCCTGGAGGGATTGTAATAAGGGCTGGGCCGTAGGCAATGTCTCGGGTTTAGGTGCTTGACAGTTTACATAATTTTTTTTTAATATTTTATTTTATATAATTCTTACATCATTTTTCATTTTTGCACAATGTATGCATTTTCATTTTGGTGATATTCCTCATACAATTGCACCCCCCCCCTCTTATTTTGACCTAATCCTTCCTCTCCCCACCGCATACCTCTCCCCACCCCAGGCCATCGTGTGTGTCTCTAGTTTATAGTTGCATTCAGGTACCTCCTCCTTGAATCAGACCTAACAGGAGAGGTGCAGAGGGAGGGAGCACCTGTAACGCCATCCTTTGGAGTGAATTGTGCCCCCTCCAAAATTCATTTATTTAAGCCTGTCACCCCCAAACTGACTGTGTTTGACAATAGGGCCTATTAGCAGGTAATTGCGGTTAAATGAGGTTGTGATGGTGGAACTCAGAGCCCATAGGATTAGCGTTAGTAAAGAAGAGGCACACACAGGGGAGAGGTCATGTGATCACCAGCATGGCTTTGAAATGGGCAACCTAGAATAAAGAAAACCAAGCGAGGCTCTGAAATAGCCATCTGAACCTTAGGAGTAGAATCCGTAAAAGGACATATCTGTGCAAACTCTGCTGACTGTGGCTGCCAGGAAAGGTGAAGGGGACAAAATATTCACTGACTGTCAAGAAAGGACAAGAAGACAAGGTAATTGCTGAAGACGCTGGTCCAGAAGTCACAGGGCATCCGTCGTGCCCAGGGGGTGGATGAGCTCTATTACATTACTTCCACACCAGCAGATCCCCTCATTTATTAGCTAATCAGGCAGAATTAAATACTTTAAATTATCTTTCTTAATCCTGTGTGGGATCATTTGAAAACCCAGGGCTCTAAAATTCTAATGGTAACTGCTTACCAGAAATACCATCCCACTTTGAGGAATTGAAGCAGACCCAAATCTAAGGCTGTTCTTTACATTTCCAGAAGGTCTATCCCACAGCCAGAGATGGACATCCAAGGGGGCTGGGGCCCTGGACCTGCTTCAGAACTCAGCTATGACCAGAAACTGAAAGAAAGAGCAACGGTGGTAGAGAAGGGCATGGAGGTGGCGGGAGGACAGAGAGAAAACAACTTTGTTAACCTCAGCAAAAGCCAAGAGCAAAACCTAAGTCTAGATGTGGAGTGTTCTGTGGGCCTCCCGTCCCACTGCAGGAAATAGTTCCCTCCCGTAGGAAGAGGCGGTGCGAGGTGGTGGGAGCTGGCTCACCATCTGCGATTAAGCTGCTTCTCCTGTTAGCGCCGACTCCAAAGCCCCAGCCCTCCCGCTCCTTCCTAGACCCCACACCAGGGAGCGGGTGCTTTGCTCCGTGCCCTTTCCTGGGATGGTCAGGAATGTTTTCAGGAGCAGCACTCCAGGACTGGACTCCAGTGGTTTCCACTGTGTGGCAGTGTTTCCTGGGTGGACCTGAAATTATGAGGAGATGAAAAAACCATCTGGAGCCAAACTGTAGCACCCAGTAAGCTGAGGCCACCCCATTATCCTCACGGCCATTGCTGCTGATGAGGTGGACCAGGGGGTAAAAGAGCAGGTGTGTGGTTCGCCCACACCCGTGTGTGGAAACGTGTGTGTTGTGAGGTTGTGACATGTACACTTTGTGTGATATCTATGTTGAGGATGTGTGCGCCTGGTGAATAAACTGAGTGAATACCGTGTGTGTGTGTGTGTGTGTATGTGTGTGTGTGTGTGTGTGAATGTTCTATCCAGCCTCTGAAAAAAGCTATGTGATCTAGAAATGGAAGAGTGCTAGAAGTTAGGGGAACCAATATCTACCGTGAGAGATTCTCTAAAAGCTGTATGTTTTATACTCTTTCCCTCTGTGGTCCAGATAAACCCAATCTGGGAAAAAGAAGCTGGTAATGACTCTTGCTAGATAGCTTCCCTGTGGCTGCTCTGTGTCCAGTGAGGAGAGCTGACCTCACTCTTATTCTCTGTTTCAGCACACGGCCCTCTGTGTGTCGGTTAAGTTGTAGGTGAATGTAATGTGCATCAAATGCTTACATTTACTTTCCTCAGTCCCAAGGCCAACGGAATTGCCTGCCTGCCTTCCCTCTTTATAAACTATGGAATATCTCAGTTATCTGGAAAGTATACAGGATAATTTTGTGGACACCCATAGACCCATCACCCAGCTTGATTAATTCTTACATTTTACTGGTTTTGCTTCCAGTGGTAAGTCAAACATTCCAAATACAGTGTGACCTCTTTATTTAAGATGCATAGTGCTGTGAAGATTCAGCTGATATCAGAACTCAGCCTCTAGAAACATTCTTGAACAGAATAGTATTCTTTTGCAAGAAGTTCTCTTGGCCTTTGCCATTCTGCAGCTTGACTATAATGAACCCAGATCCTACTTTATTCTTATTTATACTGCTTATGACTCTCTGGTCTTTCTGAATCTCAGTATTTGTGGTTTTCATCATTCTCCCCAAATTCCCAACCATTCTCTCTTGTATTATTGCCTCTCCCCTGTTTTCTTGATCTTCCCCTTCTGGAGCCCCAATTACATATGTTAATTCTTCTCTTTTCTACTTTTCATGTATTTTATTTTTTTCCCAAGTATCATATATTTATTAATCAGTGTAATTAAACCCCAACAATGTAAACCAACATGATGTCATGCATTTAGAAGGGAAGTATTTCCTGGTTTGGCGGGAGATGGTTCGGACAGTTTCTGGAAGCCCTTCTTTGTAAGCAGCTTTACCGAGAAATAGTTCATGTAGAAATCTGCACCTTCTCTCTTCAGTTTGCTGTCATCTGCACTCACTGAGAGAACTTGTATTGCTCATTGGGACCTGGTCTGTCCCAGGATTCTGGGTTATTCTCTGTCCCACCTGACACCTGGATTGAACAAGGCCAGATGCATGACATCCAAAGCTGCTCCAGTTCCTCCTGCTCCAATAAATACAAAGTGGGGATCAGACTAGGGGGCTTCTTGGCCTAACTGAGGATCTGGCAGAGCATGGTGTAGGAAAGGCCTTGGGCCAGGAAGGAGAGGAGAACAAATCTACAAGGCCTGGGAATAAATCTCTTTTCATGGATTTTAAAACTGCTAAAGAGAAGCCTACCCCTGAGGCTGCTGTTACCTATCCTCAGATCATCCTGGGTGCCAAGGATTAATGAAACATTGTGGACTCTAGAACGGAAAAGTCTTCTAAGAAATAGCAGAGGTCTCTATGGGAAATGATGGCAAAATGGAGAGAGGGGCACCCCACTGTACACACATTTATTTGGCACTTTATTTGAATTTTCTGCCAAGCAGCAGGCATGCGCTTGTATAACAGGGACACACAGGTATAGTTAGACAGTCCCTGGCCTCAAAGAGCTAAGTTGAAGAGTATGTTGCCCTTCTGGTCAGGATGGGAAGCACCATGATAGGGCTGCACCCAAGGGGTTGTGGGAGTGGTCTGAGGGACCCACCTGGCCAGAGGAGCCCAGGAAACCTGCTTGTGGGGGGGGGGGGAGGGACAAGGGTAGGAGAGGGGCTGAAGGATAGTCAGCTTGGTGAAGGGTAACCCAGGTAGCACCAGCTCATACAGCAGCCCAGCACTCAGGGAGCATGCCAGGCTTGTGCCTTCTCAAGTTCTGTTTGGAAGGAGCTCAGAGTCAGGGAGAGCAGGAGGAGGTAAGGTAAGCAGTAACGGGGTAGGTTGTAAAGGGCTTCAATCACGACTCCATCCCTAGGACAGTGAGGAGCCTTTGAAGAGTTTCAGCTGGGGATATTTAATCACATTATTAAAAAGTATTATATTTGATCATAGTTGTACTTTATAAAAAGATTAACACATCTGCAGTGTGAACAATAGATTGGAGATCACGATCCTGGAGGCAGAGAGAACCATCCAAACACTTGCATTGATCTAGTGAGAGACTGTGGCAGCCCGGACTAGGCAGTTGGGTTTAAGAACACAGAGGACACAAAAGTAGTTCCTTTCCTTAAAAAGGAGGGGAGGACAGATTAAGTAAGATGTTTATTTTATGGTCAAAACAAACATATCACTCTGACAGTCTCAATGGCTCTCAGCATTTTTTGAGCCATGACTCACCTAAGGGCTAAGACCTACTCTCATTAGAAACAGTTCATATTAGAGGCCTCCCTGGTGGCTCAGGGTTTAAAGTCTCAGTGCTATCAACCTACCAGCAGCCACTGCAGCACAAGTTCAATCCCTGGCCAGGGAGCTACCCACATGGCAGAGCAGACCTCTCCTGTCTCACCTGCTGCTCCCCTCAGCGGTGTATTTCATTAGAACCTCCTGTTCTGCCCCCCATTCTGTCTCTGGTGAATCCTCTCACACACACCCTTGACCTACACCCCGGTTCTTGTATGCATAAATCTTAAAAAAAAAAAAAAACATATTATAGCATATCACCAGTGATGCTCTACAGATGTCACAGGAAGACCCCTGAGTCATTTACAAAGAATAAAGGCTAGGGTGATTCCTCTGTGCCCTGCCATTGGGCATGCCAGGCTGCCTGCCACCCCACTGTGGGGAAGCAAAGAAGCCTTTGGAGCAGACATGCATCCTTCATTTAAAGTAAATAACATTTGAAGGAAAGTCTTTTGCAGCATTATGCTAGTTCAGCTCTCTCCCCTACCACCTGTGCCTGAGAAGTAGGTTACTTACTCCTAATAGAAACACAGACTTCACATATCCACACATTCTTCCCCTGATGAAGTGATAAATCAACCCGTATGTGATGAATTTGGATGGTGCAGACAAAAATACCAGGTATTCCAGCCAAAGCACACACAGTTTGTTGTGAATCATCCACACCAGCTTTCAGCACAGTTAGTCACAGAACAATTGCTCAGTTCCTTCATTTTCACAGAGTAGACCTGGCCCTAGACCCAAGAGTGGAGCAGCAACTGTAAGACAGCAGAAATATTATAAATAACCCAGAGAACCCTTTTATAACAGCAACTGCTTGCTGATTTTGTGGCCTAACAGCTCAAGCAAAAAGGGCTATAAATACAATATTGTGCAATGACTAATTACTCAAAATCTTTTGCATCAGCAGAAGTGGAACCTGTGCTTGGTGCTAATATTATCAAATGCCTTTATGTTTAATAATCTGGTAACTGTATTATTTAGCATGCCATTTTCATGGAGAACAATGATTTTATTTCAAGTACCTTTCACTGAAATAAAAAAGCAGCTGTTAGGAGTGTTTTAGCGGAATCTTTTGTGAGATACTAAGTCATATTGGGTTAACTGTTTTCTGTCTCGAACAGTGGAGTCACAAAGTATAAAGGTCGCTGACCACAGAGGGCAAGGCCAACCTTTAAGACCCAGTGAATCACTCAGACATTTTCATTTCAAGTGCCGCTTATTCACTCATATATAAAGTTATTTATTCACAAAGCTTCCATTAATATTGCCTGAAGAATGGGCCTTTATTAGTCCAAATTTTACTTCTCTTTCATTAATAATAGCATTCTTTAAATTATGGAATAAATTAATCCACCACAGACATTTTAGCCAGAAGGGGGTTTTTAACCAGTTTCAAGTCTCCACAAGCCATGTGCTGTGGCTCACCAGAGAAAAGAGCAACGAGAGGGCGGCCTGCGGAGCGCAGCCTGGCCCTGCCCCTGAACCCACAGAGGCGCGGGCAGCCCACCCAGCTCCCGGCCTCACGGCCCACTGCCCCCAGGCTGCCAGAGCAGGGCTGATTCCTGGGTTGATATCAGGCTCTCCCATGGTTTTCGAGCTGGCCAACCACCAGTCAAGCTAGGACTGCACCATGAGGAGAGGACATCATGACGTGCCTGCCGGGCACAGCTGGTTTCAGCCAAAGAACGTTGGTCCATTTTTTTCTTTTTTTAAAGATTTACTTATTTATGCACACAAGGGCTGGGGTATAGTCCAGAGATGCAGGGAGTGAGAGGATTCACCAGAGACAAAGTGGGGAGCAGAACAGGCGATAGCTTCACAGTGCTGAGACTTAACCCCTTGCACCACCAGGGAGGCCCTCAATCTGCTTTCATGTGGCCATATTGATTCAGGATTTTTTTTCACATTGAATTACTATGATTATAGGTAAACCATAAAATTCTCCCCTTGCCTAAGCTGTCAAGCAATGTACGAACAGCGACTTCTCCCTACCCCAGTTTCCACTCTTGGGGTAGTGGGGGCGGGGGGTGGGTAAAGACTGAAAAATGGAAGCAGGGTCTTCAGAGATGACTGTGGATGACTTCCAGAATAAGACTCATTTCTTATAGAATAAGACTTGCTTATAGAGTAAGCCATATAGGATGCAGAAAGAGGTGGGGTCCGGATGTCTGATCTGTGTATTGTTTGGTAATCTGAGACAGTGGGTCTGCATTTTTATCCAGTGACCATTTTCATGCAAGTGCTAGCTGCAAACAGTTTTGTCAAAATGCCCCGTCGCAGTACTGGTGTGACTGACCAACCCAGAACCTTCCCAAACTGGAAACTGAAAGTAGACCCCCAAGACACAGTCAGTCCCAGATGGAGCCAGCAAATGGCCTCTGTTATTGTGGACCATTGGCTGAGGTAGACCAGGGATCACTTGTTACCAAGCGACTTGGAGCTGGACCCGTTCATGGCACTGACCTCTGATGTAGCCAGAACGCCACAAACACAAGCATTGGTGTGGGAAGTTTGGAGTAGACGAAGCCCCTGGCAGCAGGCAAATATGATTTCTTTTGCCTCTGACTCAATGCTAGATGAAATTGATAGTTATTATAATCATCTGTACTCTGACCAGTGGGTTTCCCTCATGGAGGTTCTAGCAGTTGTAGGGTTTCCCTACAACTTGTAGGGTTTCCCTCATGAAGGTTCTAGCAGTTCTGATAAGAAGGTTGATAGAGTTGTTCTTATTCCTGAGGAGTGAAATTTAATCAATGTATTGGAAATTAAAAGGCCAACATCATTTTTTTAATACCATCTGCAGGCTGTGGGGCCAGTGAAATCCTGCCTTGCAAACATATGTGGGCCCCACCTTCCTTTGATTTTGCATTTGACTCCCCATTGATCCCGTTCCGTTTCCATTCATCTAATTGAAAGAAAACCGTAGTCCCATAAACTATTCCAGATGGAAATGTATAATTCAAGAGAAATTCCGATGTCAAAGAAGAGAAGGCACACCAATTTGTGTCAACAGTTGCTGTAAATTAAAGAGGAGTACAAGGAGAGTTGAATGTAATGTGGAATTGAAAATAAAATTAGAACCAATATTTAGGCAGTCCTCGGCCTCTTTTCACCTGCTGTGACACAAAGGATGGAGTCCCAGCCTAAGTACCTGAGGGAGTTCATTTTTCTTTGCTTCTGGAATATTTTTCCCTATAAAGTGTGGCGTGTTTATCTTGGGCATCCAAAATTAGATCTCTTCACTTTTTCTCTCCTAACCACAACAGAAAAGTCAAATTAGGAAATCGAAGTTTTCCCATTGCTGTCCCCACCCATCAAGTTTGCAGCATAGAAAGGATCCCTGCTGTTCCAGTCTGACCAGCTCAGATGCTGGAAATAGCTATTAATTCCTTATTAATACTGCGCCTCTCTAAAGTGGGTGTATCGCCAAGATATCTTTTTCTAGAGCTGGGAAACAAACGGTGGATAATGAGCACTCACACATGCACTGTTGTGCCAGGTGGTTCTCTCCACTCGCGGGAAGGATTTGGTAGCACACAAGCCAAAAGAGTTCCCTCCCTTTGTAAGTCATTACCTGGGTAGCTTCTCTGGAGCCCCACCAAGCTGCCATCATTCAGAACCTCTCTGGATCTCATTTTTCAAAGTTCCCTCAGAGATGGCGTTGTTCTTTATGGCTCCCCATCCTTTCTGGCCGGTGGTGAGATTCCCAAGCTTGATTCCCCACCTTCATCACTAGACTTAGTTTTGAATGACTCATACTTCCAGAAACAAATTCCTTAGGATAATGGTTCTCAAAATGTGACCCTAAACCAGCAACATCCGCATGACCCAGGAAAACCCATTAGAAACACAAATCCCAGGCCCCACCGCAGGTTTTTTGGTTTTCGTTTTGTGTTTTGAATCACAAAGTTACAAAATTATGGAATACACGAATTTGCATGTCATCCTCATGCAGGGCCAGACCAGTCTGCTCAGGATTGTTCCAATTTTAGTCTATGTGCTGCTGAAACCCGCACACCACCCCAGATCTGATGGATCAGAAATGTGGGGTTTTAACCAGCCCTCGAGGCAATGCTGACGGAGAACCACTGGCTTAGAAATAATGCCTTCATCATCGAGCCTGTTCAAAGATGTACTACAGATTTTGAAACTATTCCCAAAAAAAAAGTTTCAAAATCTTTTTGAGCGAAGTTGGAGTCCATGTGCAAGTGCACTGCTTTTATGGAAATTGGCCTTCAACGGGGCCATCCCACTTCTGCCACTAAGCCATTTGACCTTGAGCAAGTTCTCACATTTGGTTTCTCATCTGGAAAAGTAAAGACCCACCCTGCCTGCCTCACAGGACTGTAATGATATTCACAGTGAATCACATCTGTGAACATGCTCTGTCAACCAGAAAGTGCCGCGAAAAAGTGAGCGTTGTGCCGCTCTGCAGACTGGATTCTGCCAGGCCAACCATTCTGTCACCATATAGAGCAGGGAAAAGCCCATAGTTATCTCTCTGCCCAGACCCACCTTTTGTGTCTATAACAGGAGTAAATACATCATGTAGATGGGAATGTCTCAGATTTTACCACTTCTGCCCTCCAGTTCATCTGGTGTTGAGAGGAAAACTCTGGCCTGGCTAGTGGCTATGAGGGGCTGGAAACTTATCTCCATGTCGGATGTGCTGTTTTCTATGGAAGCCTTGGCGGTGATGGCTAAGGGCAGGCAACGTGTGCGGCGCTGACACGCTCATACCCACAGCTTGTCACACACGAGCAGTGAACGTCTGAACTGAAACCACCCATTTCAGCCCTATGCAAGGGAGCTGTGACCTTCAAAAGGGAAGCTAAGAACAAAGACGACCCTGGAGCAACCAAATCTATGTAAATCGAGATGCACAAACCAGACCACAGTGACACCAAGTATATGTCTGTGCTTGAGAAGATGGGTGAATTTTTACCTTAAACAACGAGCTCCTAGTATATTTATAATTGACTTAAAACTTCACCACAGACTGTTGAGAGAGTATATCTGGGCAGGAAGGGAGCTAAATCTGTTGCCTTAGTGCTTAGTAGGTATGCAGTTTTAGTAACAAGACAGTTTCCACTAGGTCAACATCAACTTCAGTTTTCACATGAAGTACTGTTAGGGGGAAAGGATGTCCTGAGCTAATCCCATACAGTCTTTGTGGACCCCATCCCCACTCCAGACCAAAGCCATCAGGACATTGGGAAAGACAAATCCCGTCACCACCAAAGGGAAGGTGGCTGGGACCTGAGGGTGGAGTTAAGCAGCCAGGTTGGGTATAAAAACCAAACACGTAGGCCTTGGGGTCTCTCGCTCTGTCGCTCGCCTCCTGGCTTCACGGCTCCTGGCTCGCGGCCAGCTCTCAGAGTGCCATTCGGGATTCCTGATTGGCGGATCAGGTAGGACGCATTTAAAACTTTGTCTCCCACTTTTCTCCCTGAGCTGTACATTTCCTCATTTCCCCTTCCCTTGTAAATAAACCTTTATTAACCTTTCGCATGTGCCTGCAGTGGAGTATTGATAAGTCCTTTTAAGCACGCGGGTGAGGACCCACAGTCAGGCACCCCGTTTTGTATTGGGGCTACCCTATAACAGTACCAGCTAAAATAAAGAGTTTACGTATGCATCTAATTGGCTAATGGTGATTAAATTATTGGTTTATTATGGGATAAGCTATGGGTTAGTTATGCAATTAAAATATGAAATGATTTTGCTCAAAAATGTGTGTATTTCACAAATCTGTGGAGGCAAAAGTGTTTTTTAGGCCTACTATGTGTAGTGGGAAAGAATCAGAAAGGACTATTAATACATACAAGGTGTCTTTTTAGGGAGGATGAAATTTCTAAAATTAGATAGCGGTGATGGTTGCTCAGCACCATGATTTTATTAAAGAACATTGACTTGTGTGTTTTTAATGAGCAGATTATATGTTATGTGAATTATCTCAATACAGCTGTTTTTATTTTGAAAAATCAAATGGCTAATAAATTGTAGAGCCAGGGAGAAATGGTTCCTATTTAAAAGACAGTGAGAACTGGGCCTCCCCGGTGGCGCAGCGGTTGCGCACTGGGCTGCGAAGCTGCCTGCAGCCTCTGCAGCGCCACTTCGATCCCTGGCTGCCAGGTGAGGGTCCCACATGGCGGGCAGACCTCTCCTGCTGTCCGCTGCTCCCCTCAGCAGTGTACTTCGGTCCTTCTGCCTGCTCTGCTCCCCGCTCTAGCTCTGGTGAATTCTCTCACCCTCCCGCGCTTCTGACTGTACCCAGTGCTTGTATAAATAAATAAATAAATCTTTTAAAAAAAAAAGAAAAAGTCCATCTTTAAAAAAAAAGACAGTGAGAACAATAGTATCAAAACTTTGCTGCATGCATTTCCATACTTGATTAATATGCAATATAATAAGGCAGAAATATAATTTGCAATATAATAAGGCAGAAAATATTTGCTCTCTCTTTTCATCAGAATATTTTAAAAGCAAACTATCTCAACCTGATCATTGAAAATTAAATGTAGTAATTTAAGGTGCCTAATAGTAGAAGCCAAAGTCATGGACATTTATGATGTGATGATTCATTGTGTTCCCTGCAGATGTATTTAGAGTAAAAGTAAAAATCAGTGGCACTTACACGTAATAAGAAAAACGGATTCGCACTGTTTCTAAACTGATCTGTTTAGGAAAGACTGGAAGGCTGAGCTTGGGAAGGATGTGTTCTCATCCTTGTGATGTAAATTGGTGCTGATAAGAAGAGATAGAAATATTCCTCTCTGCTTATCAGACTGCTCCATCCTGCCTGCCTAGGAGAGCGCTTTGCTCTTTCCTTCCTTGCAAAAGGCCACGATGCTTCCAACCTCCTTGTGCAAGTCCTCACTCTGGGCTTGGGCCTTGCTTGCTGGTGGCCATGGAGACTGTAAATGGAGGCACCCAGGAGAGGAGCTGGCTGGGAGAGAGAGGAATTTCTGGCTCAGTGGAAAGAAAGCGGGAAGCTATCAACACCTGCCCGGCATGCATGCCTTGCAATTTAGAGGCTGCTGGCTCGGGCTTCTTAAAGCACCGGAAGATGCAGAGGAGGTCCTTAGCAGCTCTTACAATGATGTTTCTCAATCTTTTTTTCCCATTAATCAAATCACCTCACCCCAAGGAGCCTTTGAAGATTTTCTTTTCCTAATTGTCCTTTTCCCCCCATGAAATTTTACTACCAGAGAGAGAGAGAGAGAGACACTTGTATGGATATATATGTGTAAATATATACATGCTGTAGTCCTTGGAGCAACACAATCATTGTAACATCTAAGATTTTTTTTCATCTCACCCCCTCCCACCCCCATGCAAGAAGGAATTTATGCCCCCATGGAAAAGACCCTGACTGGTGAGAATGCATGGCCTGACGGAGTGGGGGGTCTGAGCAGGGCCTTTCTCTTTCTGCACACACTGAGTATGTGGTGAGGTCAGTCACACAGAGAAGGTGGGTGAGATGGCCTGATGTCCACCACTCGCCAGTATAGACTCTGACTTCCCGTTCCAGCTATTCTCTAGGCTATTCTCTATTCTCTATTCTCCAGTGTGGGTGGGAGACATAAAGGCAAAGAGATCACTGCACCTATCACCCACAGCACAGCCAGCCTCCCTGCTATGAACAAGAGAAAGGGAGCAAAGAAGCACTTAGGGAACACCCACTGAGTGCCAGTGTACTACCAAGCCTGGGAGAATAGTCTAGAGAATAGCCTCTGGAATCACATTGTCCCCATGCGTCTGGTCTGTCTGCCACCCTCAGGGCTCTACCACCACCTCCTGTCCCTTGGGGGCCTTCTGCTCAGCAGCTGACTGCCAGTGGAGTCCTCCACAAAAGCAAAGGTTCAGGTAGAGACACAGCTGACCCTGCAGAGGGCCACCCTCGTCCCAGGCTGCGCTCTAGCCCAGCCCAGCTCTCAGCGGTTCCCAGAAGCCTCCTTGTTGCTCTCCCTTGTTCCTTTGCCGCCAAATGAAAGCATGAGATTGACCGAGTTTCCCCAGTGTTGACTCAATAGAGGTACCTTTATACTCTAGCTTTACATTTCTTTTATCTCCTACCCACAACCTCTTCAAAGGGCTCATGAAGTATCACCCCTTCCCCACAGGGGAATGGATTTCAGAGACCCCTTAGAACTCTCTGGTGTCGGGGCTCTGCTGTAATTCAGAGAGACCGGCCACTGGCTTCTGTCTCTTCCTGGCTGCACTATCCCTCATCCGCGCTGGGAATAGAAAGCCAGGCACAGCAAACACCCTTTGCCCTAGCATCACAGGATCCTGCCCTAGGAGAGTAGGCCTCTTTGTTCCTTAGAGCCCCCATGTGGCCCCTTCTGACCTATGTTGTGGGCAGTTGTGTTCGAAAAGGTTGACAGGCGCCTCCCTGGTGGTGCAGGGGTTAAAGACAGCTCTATCAAGCTATCATCAGCCCCTGCAGCATGAGTTCGACCCCACCCATGGCACAGCAAACCTCTCCTGACTCACCTGCTGCTCCCCTCAGCAGTGGATTTCAGTAAATCTGCCTGTTCTGCTCCCCACTCTGTCTCTAATGAATCCTGTCTCTGATGAATCCCCCCCTGCACCTCTGGTGGGAGGGATACGTTATTTATGTATGCATAAATAATCTTTAAAAAAAAAAAAAAAACAGAAAAGGTTAACAAGTTGAAGGGCATCTGAGTTAATACCATCTATTCTAAGCTTTCTCTTAGCTCCAGGCGCTGTGCTGGGCCTTTTCACAGAGATGAACTAATTCACTAGTCTTTGCACTAACCCTACAAAGTAGGTTCCCATTTTACAGATAAACAGGCTCAGAGACACTGAGTTACTTGATGAAATCGGGACTTAGGCTCAGGCCCGTCCGGCTGCAAACCATCCACTGCTTGCACCACTTGAGAAAAGACCTCCCGGGTGGGAGGAGCATTTCCCCAGCTGGGCACTCAGGGGCTTCGTGGTAGGTGGAAAGGTAGTGAATTTACCGTTCTCACTGGATAGCACTGCTAAC